TTATCATGGAAGACTTTTATTGCTCCACCTATTTTGAATGATAGTTTTGCTGGGTAGAGTATCCTAGGGTTGAAGTTATTTTCATTCAGTGCCCGGAATACCTCACTGCATGCCCTTCTTGCTTTTAAGGTTCCCGTTGAGAAATCTGCTGTGATTTTGATGGGTTTACCTTTATGTTATTTGTTTTTTCTCTCTTATAGCCTTCAATATTCTTTCTCTGTTCTCTGTGCTTGTTGTTTTAATGATAATATGTCGTGGAGAAGTTCTATTTTAGTCAAGTTTGTTTGGTGTCCTGGAGACTTCTGTACCTGAATGGGCAGAATGTTCTCTAGATTTGGGAAATTTTCTTATTATTTTATTGAATATATTATGAATCCCTTTTGCTTGGACCTCTTCTCCTTCTTCAATGCACATGATTCTTAGGTTTGGTCTTTTGATGGAGTCAGTGAGTTCTTGCATATTCCTTTAGTCTTGAGTTGACTAACAATTCTTCAGTTTTTCCTTTAATTTCTATTTTACCTTCAAGTTCTGAGATTCTGTCTTCTGCTGTCCTAGTCTGCTGGAGTGGCCTTCCACTGTGTTTTGTGTTTCTGTTTCATTCTTTTTTCTGAGGCTTTCCATATCATGGGTCACTTCCTCTGTTAATATTTTCTGTTTTCATCTTTAATTCATTTACCTCTCTATTTATAGTGTTCTCTGTTTCACTTTGGTGTTTATTTAGGGCTCTTATGGGTTCATTTATTTGTTTTTGTGTCTTCGTATTCTTTATTTTTGGTGTCTTGAAATTTCTTGAGCGCATCTTGTAAGTTTTGATTAACCATGTCTAGTATCATGTCCATGAAATTCTCAGTGATTCCTTGCAGGATGTCTTCTTTGAGTGTTTTGGTGGACATCGTTGGGTTTCTTGGTGTCATTTATCTTTGTTTTGTTAGAGTCCAGAACTGGGTATCCATTTTCTTCATTCCCTTCTGAGTCCTCTTTGATCTGTCGAATGTCTTGCAGCAGATTTGGACCCAGTGGCAGCAGTTGCAGCAGCGGTGGCAGCCCTCAAGTTTTCTCAGTGTAACATGCCTTCTCAGGGGAAGCTTTCTGTGGATTAGGGGTTAAGGGTGTTGAAGGTTTGATTCTGGTTGGTGCTTTAATTCCACCAAGTGTGGCTCCAGCGTCTCAGGGAGGTTTTGGAGTCATGGAGCTTAGGCTATCTGCTTTCATACCCTAGTTGCCATCTTGAATCTCCCAGTGTGGAAGGTTTTTAAATTGTAAATTCATTTTCTTTAATACACCAAAGGCCATTCAGATTGTCTACTTCTTTTTGAATTAGTTTTAGTAATTTTGCCTGTCAAATCACTTGTCTGTTTCACTTAAATTGTCAAATTTTACTGGCTTAAAGTTGCATGTAACATCTATAGTGCTAAACTGTGTCTCATTTCTAATATTATAATTTGCATCTACTTTCTTTCCTTCCTTGTAGTTTTTATTTGTATTTTTAATAGATTTTAATTCCCACCTGAAGAGTGGGGGCTTTAAGCACTAATTTCAGCACCTTTCTTCTTTGAAAAGAATGAATTTCCCACTAAGAACTGCTTTCACTGCATCCCACAAATATCCTGTACTTTCATTTTCATTCCATTCAACGTAATTCCTAATTTCCTTTATGATTTCTTCTTTGACTAAAGCCTTATTTAGATATATTATTTATATTTTCAATAATTGGGACTTTCCCATATTTCTTTCTCTTATTGACTTCCAGTTTGATTCCATTGTGGTCAGAGAACAACCTCTGTATAGTTTTAACCCTTTTAAATTTGTTGGGACTTATCACCCAGCAAAGTAGTATTTATTGGTGGCTGTTCAGTGTACAGGCAAGAAAAAAATGTACATTCTGCTGCTGTCAGAGTAAGTATTTGATAAAGGTTCATTCATTCTAGTCAGTTGTTACTGTTATTCAAGTCTTCAGTATCTTTACTACTATTCTGTTTATCTATTCTGTGAATTACACAGAAAGGAATGTTAACATCTCCAACTTCAACTGCGTATTGTTTTTCTCCTTTTACTTTTGTCAGTTTTTACTTTATATATTTTAAAGGTTTCTTACTGGTTACACACGAATTTAGGATTATTATGCCTTCTTGATGGATTGATCCCTTTATCACAGTGAGATGTTCTTCATCTCTAGATATATTCCTTGCTCTGAATTCTTCTTGGTCTGACACTGTTTAGTGTGTGCATGTCATGTCTTTCTCTAACTTTCAACCTATCTGTGTTTTTCTAGTTCAGTTCTTATAAGCAACATATAATTAAGGTTTGCCATTTCTATGCACTGACAATCTTTCTTTTAATTGGAAATTTATCCAATTTGGAAATATACATTATGAAGCAAGGTTCATGCTAATTGCTCTGGGTCACATATGATTAGGTCATAGCAAATGTGCTCTCACCACTTATAAAGATATCAGAATGGCCCC